TTTCCTTGGAGTGCCCTGATGCATGATGGCTTGACCTGCTCTAACCGGAAGCAAACTCAGGCTGTTGACTTGCTTCTTGGTGGGCTCTGCTAGACCACGAGAGAGCAGGTAGGTCTAGTTCCTGTTGTTTATGCTTCATCTTACTGTCAGGTTTGCCCACATCAGGCCAGAGCTTGGGTGGAAGAACTTCATCTGTTCTTTGTACTTGGAGCACGTGGGGTTTTCTTCACTTTTCCATGTTGTCAGCTCTCTGGTTTCTGCTGTCTTTCCAGCACCATGCTCCTGGTCCTTTTCTGCTCTTCTCTTCGTGCCAAACTAGAAGCTTTGCTTTTCCCTGGAATATTCTCATTGCCTATTTTAAAAGGCACAGCAGGAAAAAAACAGTCCTAGATGAGTGGTGTAGCAGCTGAAAAGATAAAACTCCTTTCAGACCAGAGTATGATAAATGAAGGAGAAATCTCACGTGAGATAGTGAAACTGTTGGAGTAGAAATGGCAAATGACTCCTGTCTGTGTCAGGCTGTGCTAGTAGAACACTAAAACTTATCAGAAAGTAGTTTTCATGCAAATAATGATTCACTAGTAAACTTTCTGCCACCAGACATCTCTGAACCAAATAACTGTATCAAATCTAAACACCTTTGAGGTCTGTTAAGCTCCCCTGACAGTCTGTTAGACTACAGACCTGTCTTCAAAGTTTATCCCAAACTCAAAGCAAGTGGCACGGGAAAAGCTTTGGGTTTGTGTTATCCTATATGTTATTTGTGACGCAGAGGCTGAAACTGCTCCCTGCTGCCAGGGAGAAAAAAAAAACAAAAAACAAAAAACATAAACGAGCTCCATTATTATCTGTCTGTGAGGGAATTTGTGCACACCTAAGCCCTGGGAGTGTGGTTATTTCTAATTGTAGCTTTGATGCTTTTCCTTCCTGTCTGCCAGGTTTGGTCACTGGCCATGGTAGCCACAGATCTCTGTCTTGGACCGAAGTCTGACCCAGATTTGGAGATACCTTGGGCACAACATCCATTTGGACGTCAATTATTGGAGTCCTTGTAAGTGCTGGAATGCTGGGGAGGGGTTGGGGAATGATTGCTGAAGCAGAACCCTCCATAACTATGCACATCATAAGGTGTCATTTCAGATTTGGGAGTAGTGCCACAGCATGTATTTTTCTCCCCCGTCAAGCCTGAGGTACATCAAGAGGGGCAGGTGCAAGTGGGTTTATGGCATGCAGGAGGCAGTGCTTGGCCTCCCTGCTAGCACCCTGGTTTTTCTTGGCTAACATTGAGCAACAGGCCAGGTGCAGTTGGAGCTCTGCTTTCTGTGCCCACAGAGCCTGACGAGGAGTTTGGTTTCCTGCTCCCCACCTCCTAAATGAGCATATTGATGCAGTTGATTTGTTCACCTTCAAACTCCCTGTTGCCATTCCTGGGAAATGATTCCACTGGTCTCAAAGCCAGATGTTAGCTGCAGATATCCTCTTGCCAATGAATCTCTGCAGGAGGGGACAGGATTAGTGATTTATATTATCTGTCAGTATATCCCCTTTGGAGGCACAGGATCTGTGTGGTGTGTTTTGGATGCTGTTGCCTGGTGTAGCTCTTTCCTGATGTGTGGGAGGGGAGCACAGGTAGGTCTTCATCTCTCTGAGTCTCCAGAGCAACCCAGGAACTTCACACACAGCTATCCAGAAAAGCTGTGGTGGGTTTTGCCTTGTGGTTGAGGTGTGAGATGCTTGCAAGCAGAGGGTTTTGTCAAAAAGACACTGCAGCTGGGGGTGAGACTGGTGGCTCCAGCTGTACATCCAGTTCAGATCAGTTCTGTGCATGTTGTTCTTGATTCTGCACAAACTTGGGATAACCAGCCCACAAGTACTGCTGGATTCCCAGAGCTCCTATCTTTCTCCTACCTGTTAGGCCATGATTTTTATCAGAGGGAGGATTTTGCTTCTCTCAAGATGTGATGCGGTGACGGGACCCAAATCGATTTGTGCGACGGGCTCAAAATCAGTTTCCCTGGAGTCATTTTACCACTGAACTCTGCCCAGGCTCATCCTGTCTGTCCTTTTTGTTTTGCAGGCTGGCTCATTACTCACAGCTCCACGATGTGCAGACTCTGGCCATGCTCTGCAGTGTGTTTGAAGCCCAGTCCAGGCTACAGGGCTGCCCCAGCTCCTACGGCACCTTTCCTCCACGTGCCTCCACCCTGGCCTCCCACAGCCGATACGTATGATGGCCATTTCTTTCCCATGGGTCTTGGATATCTTTGAGCATCTCTCAGGTAGATGACATGATTTCCTCTCCTTTCCCCCTCAACAGCCCAGCTTCACTTCCTCTGGCTCCTGTTCCAGTATGTCAGATCCTGGACTTGGCACCGGAGGCTGGAGCATAGGTACAGAGGAATCTGCCTTCATTCTAGCTTGGGTTTTAGATGTTTGCTGTGGTGGGGAAACAGGGGAGCAGGCACTCAGGGTGGCTGCCTCAACGCTGCCTGGAGCTGTAAGCTTTGCACGCTTTGAGGCTTCTTCTCCGTACCAGTGACTCCTGGCAGCTTGCCTGTCCTCCATCTGCCAGGACGTGGTTCCCAGGATTGGTTTACTACATCACCAGGGATGGAAGTTGGCCTGACTGGCCTGCAGTTTCCCGGGTCCTGCTTGTCCTTTTTGAAGACAGGAGTGACATGTGTTTTCCTCCAGTCCTCAGGCACCTCTCCCAGCCAGCCCCAGCATTCAGAGATTAGTGAGAGTAGCCTTGCAGTGTCATCATAGAATCCCAGACTGGTTTGTGTGGGAAGGGACCTTTCAAGGCCATCCAGTCCAACCCCCCTGCAGGGAGCAGGGACATCCCCAACTAGAGCAGGTTGCTCTGAGCCCCGGCCAACCTCACCTGGAATGGTTCCAGGGATGGGGCATCCACCACCTCTCTGGACAGCTTGGGCCAGGGGCTTACCCCCCTCAGTCTCAAACATGTCTTCCTTGTATCCAGTCTAAATCTCCCTCTTCTAGTTTCAATCCACCCCCCTTGTCCTGTCCCAACAGGCCCTGTTCAAAAGTCAGTCCCCAGCTTTCTGACAGGCCCCCTGAAGTACTGAAATGCCACCAGAAGATCTCCCTGGAGCCTTCTCCAGGCTGAACAACTCCAATTCTTTCAGCCTTTAATCATCCAGCTAATTCCACAGGGCCCAGGGGGAAAAAGCAGTGGTGGACTTTCTGCTGTCACTGGAAAAGCAGCAGCAGCTGGGCAGGCTGGGGTCTCGGTGCCACAAATACCTACAGACCAAAGGAGACTTCCTGCTGTGCTTCAAAGGTGTCAAAGACAAGTCCCTCTTAAGGCTTCCAGAGCCAGACTTGAAGCTGTTGGCCCATTTCTGGGGCAGCTTCAGCCCTGTTAGCTGCAAAGCTGGGACTCCTCAGTGTGGCATCAAGGAACCCCTGGCATGGGGAAGAGCAGGGAATGGGGGTTAATGGAGCTGATGTTGTCCCACAGAGGTTATTAGCTGTCTTCTCCCTGTCCCTGGGGCACCACCTCAGAGGCCCCTTTACATAACAGCAGCCCTGTTGTGGAGAGTCCTCCCTGTCTAGGAAAGAAGAGCCCGAGGCTGCTGGGGATTTCCCAAGCAACCTCCATGGGATTGATCCTCTGGATACTTTTGGTCTAAAGTGGGAGGCAGAAGAGGATTCCTCCATGCCAGAGTACTCTGCCTGATGATCCCCGTTCCCATCCCATCACCAGGAGCACCAGCAGGCAGTGGTTGGTGCTGAGTTTTGTGAGGCAGGGCAGCGTTTGTAGGAAAGTGGAAGGTGACACGGCCATGTCTTGGAGAGAACGCTGGGGTTTGTGAACGTGTGGTTGTCACGTCTCCTTCCCCACCCTGGTTTTGAGGAGGCTGTGGTCGGCGCTGTGCTTTCTGAGGTGCCCTCACAACCCTTTGATGCTTGCAGCAAACAAAGACACGGAGCAGGCCTCCACTCCCTGGTGTGAGTCTTCCCCAGATGACTTCCGCTATGGGAACCTGCCCTATCCCGAGCACCGGGAGCGCGAGAAGGACCAGCACGAGAAGAACAAGAGGTCGGTGCCTGGGGGGGATGCACAGGGGGACTCTGGGCCCAGGGCAGCTGGAATTCTGTAGCCAGGTCTCTGCTGGTGCTGTGAAGCACCACACCTGCTCCTAGACCTTAAGGTCAAGTGTAGGATCCTGCACTTGGGGACAAATAACCCTGCACCAGGACAGGTGAGAGGCTGGGCTGCTTGAGAGCAACTTGGGAGTGCTGGGGGACAACAATTTGCCCAAGAGACAGCAGTGGGCCCTCGTGGCCAAGAAGGCCAGTGGTCTCCTGGGGGGTATGAAGAAGAGTGTGGCGAGCAGGTTGAGGGAGGTTCTCCTCCCCCTCTGCTCTGCCCTAGTGAGGCCACCTCTGGAGTATTGAGTCCAGTGCTGGGTTTCCCAGTTGCAGAGAGACAAGGAGCTGCTGGAGAGAGTCCAGCAGAGGCTGTGAAGCTACTGAGGGGCCTGGAGCATCTCTGTGCCAGGAGAGACTGAGAGCCCTGGGGCTGTTGAGCCTAGAGAAGAGAAGACTTGGAGGGGATCTGCTCAATGCTGAGCAAGAGCTAAAGGGACCCCGGGGGGCAAGAGGCTGAGGCCAGACTCTTGTCAGTGGTGCCCAGTGACAGGACAAGGGGCAATGGGCACAAACTGGAACCCAGGAGGTTCCATCTGAACAGGAGGAAAAAATTTCTTGCATGCGATCCATCTGTAAGTGGCCATAGTGGGGATCCCAGAGCACAGTCCACCACTTCTACACCCTTGAGTGCAGAACCAGTGAAGACCAGACCAGTTAGCGTTCACAGGGGAAGACATCTGCGGCTCTTCTAGCGGCGTGAGGACTGCAGCCAGTCTCCCAGAGTCAATCAGGTGGATGACAACCCTGTGTGCTCCTCTAGGCTCCTGGATCCTGCCAACACTCAGCAATTTGATGACTTCAAGAAGTGCTATGGAGAAATCCTGTATCGCTGGGGCCTGCGAGAGAAGCGAGCTGAGGTTCTGAAGTTTGTCTCTTGTCCTCCTGATCCCCACAAAGGAATTGGTGAGTGTCTGCTCCGGCTGCATGGGAAGTTCAGGAGCACACAGCCAGCAGGCAGGATCAGGTGTCCATCACTCTGCCAGCAAGTGGCTTTGGGTTCTTCACAGCTCTGGGTGGAGGCAGGGCTTGCAGGTGTTGATTCCAGGGCAAGGCTTGGTAGACTGCAGCATCTCCCCATTGCTATGCTAGCAGTAGCTCTTTCTGCTGGTGGCTGTTCTTTATTCCCTGCCAGTAAGAGCCCAGGCACACACTACTGATCCCTGATTCTGGCCCCAAGTGGCCTTGCAACACATGCCTAAAATTGCAAGGTAGAATCATTAAGGTTGGAAAAGGCCTTGGAGATGAAGTCCAACCGTCAACCCAACACTACTATGACCATTAAACCATGTCCCCAAGTATCACGTCTGCATGGTTTTTGAACCTCACCAGGGATGGGGACTCCAGTACCTCCCTGGGCAGCCTGGGCCAAAGCCTCACCACTCTTCCAGGAAAGACATTCTTACTCATATGCAATCTAGACCTCCCCTGGTGCAACTTCAGCCCGTTGCCTCTCATCGTATTGCTACTTACTTTGGAGAAGAGACCAACCCCAAGCTGGATCTCCAGCTGTGGGTGAGCTACCCAAGAAACAGTCATATAGAACTTTTCTCCCAAAGTATTTTCAGAAGCGTAGGTGCTCAGAACTGCTGCTCAATGCAGTTGCCAAAATACCTTCTTCCTAGGGCCTCTGGGAAAAGATGGGCTTAACCTGAGTGGAGAGGAGCAGGTGAGAGATGAGAGAAGCAGCAGTTTTCTCATCTTGACACCAGGGACGACGCCTGGGGAGTAGCTGTAGGGCAGATCCACAGCTTTTGACCACTGGCATTGCCCCTCCATGGCTGACAGTCGTGGCATTGAGTGCTCTCTCTGCTCTGCCCTCTCGGCAATGACACAGGCTCTTCACGTTTGCTCCTGGTTACACTTCGTAGTGAAGTGAGGCAGAGGAGACCAGCAGGAAGCCTTCCTCTCCAGCCTGTGTCCTGAGCTGGAATCCTGACACACATTCCCAGCCGATGGCTCTTTAGCCACCGGGGGGAAAATTCGTGGCCCAGTCTGAGCCCTGGCATGTGGACTTCCCATTTCTTTGCTCCCTTGTGGAGACCCAGCTGAGACCTCTACAAGACCCTTTTCTCCCTTGTGAAGGAGATCAGAGGCCGATCTCCTGGGCAGTGGGCTCGGGGGACCCATCTATCCATTGTGGGGGCTGTACATGGGGCTTCTTTGTCCACGGTTCTGCCAGCACTGACTGTCTTGCTCCATTTCTGTGCCCTGGCCAGAGTTCGGCGTGTACTGCAGCCACTGCCGCAGCGAGGTCCGTGGTACCCAGTGTGCCATCTGCAAGGGCTTCACCTTCCAGTGTGCCATCTGCCACGTGGCCGTGCGAGGCTCCTCCAACTTCTGCCTGACGTGTGGCCACGGAGGCCACACCAGCCATATGATGGAGTGGTTTCGCACCCAGGAGGTGTGTCCCACGGGCTGCGGGTGCCACTGCCTGCTCGAGAGCACCTTCTGAGGGCACCCGCGTCGCAGGCTTCATTCCCAAGCCGTGCTGAACCAGTTGTGCTCTGCAGTGTCTGGGGGAGATGCTGCAGGGAGCTGACGTGGGACGTCCTGGCAATTGCTGCGGCAGCGTTGGCAAGAGCTTCCAGTGTTCAAAAGCTTCCCAGGGTGCTGCAGGACCCATTTGACCCAACTCCCTGTGTCCGTTGCTGGCGATGGATGTGCCAGACCAGAAAAATATTGCTCTCTCCTGCAGAAGGATGTGGGAAGATTTGCTCCGTGGGGATGAGGAGGGGTTGAAAAGGGCTCTCTGGGCAGAGCCAAGCTGGCTCCAGCTACGTAGCGTCTTTCCAGGTGCCTGCTGAGAGTAGAATAGTTTGCACGGTGAAAACAAAAGTCATTCGCAAGTAACAGCGAGTTCTGAAGGTGAAACCACGCTCCAAGAGCAAACGGGCTGTGGGACTGTGACTTCTGGAAGCAAGAAGACCATGCTTTCAAAAGGCTGTTGACATAGTTTGGATCCCCCTGTAAAGCAAAGGGCTGAAACAACAGATTTTTCAGGATTACTTCCACAGTCGCTCCCAACTTAGTGGTCGGTGTCTGCACCCAAGGTCCCTGGGGGGTTAGTTGCTTTCTTCCAGCAGTTCTGGTACCATTACTCTTAAGGTGTGTCTCCATCTCCTGCCCTGACCAAGTGATACAGTGCACTTCAACTTGCCTGTCGCACGTCCTGGTGCCTGGGAAAGGGTGGGATCCACACCGTCTTTCCATGGATGGTGGCATCTGAGGGTGCTTTGGCTTCCTTACTGAGAAAACACAAGGAGGACGCTTGCTCCGTGCAGCTTCTTTGGGCTGTTTTCTACAGGGGGGAAATCACTGAGTAGTTTGAGTTTTGCTGCTGGTGTGCTCCAGTGACGAGGCTCCTGAGCCACAGAGGCAGCAGTTTCTTGGGGAAAAGGGGTTGGGGATTCATGGAGGCAAAAGGTTTGTGCCTTTTCTGCTTGTGGAGCTTCAGTTGGAGAATGTACGGGATGGATCCGCTTGGGGCTGTGCCCCTCCCAAGCGGGCTTCAGCCTCAGCTTTGGTTTGGGGCTGACACGTGGTGAGGGGTGAGCCCCACGCTGGGGGCCAGGCAGGGCCACATGCTGTGCCCCCTCACACCCTCCCTGCTCCCTCAGGCCGCGGGCTCCTGCTGTGGAATAAACAGATGGTGTATCTTTAAACATTAAAAGTATTTTTTTAAGCGCTGTTGTGCTAGGACTTTGGTGCTGCCCTGCCAGTTTCCCCTCCCTGGGGAGGCCCCCTCTGCTCTCCCCGCACCCCACACTGGAGGGGGTCCCACTCTGGATACCGGCACCCCCCTGCAGTAAGTCGGGGCGAGGCTTCCCCCCCCCAACCCTGGTAGCCTCAGCGCTTAGCACCACGCCTCACGCCGCAGCTCTCTCCAAAACAAAACCGGGCGGCGTCGGAGCCTCGAGCCAACCAAACCCCACATCCTGCAGTTTGGGGACTCCCCCCCCGGGGCAGCGTCTGCACCCCCGGGCACCTCCGGGGACCCGCCCTCCCCCTTCCTACGTGACAGCCGTTGCGCTCGGAAGTATTTTCATTTCCACGCTCAAGAGCGCGCGTGGGATGGGCGGGAAAGGAGCCTTGTCATTGCGAGGCGAGGGGCCCACGGCTCCTGCCCATTTCTGGGCGTGATGAAAGCTCCTCGTGGTCCATCTCCATAGCATGGGAATCCTTCCGAGGCGGAGGGCGGAAAGGCGTCTGCCCCGGCGGTTTGTGCAACCCTGCACGGGTCGGGTGGGTGGAATTTCTTCCCGGATGCTGCAGGCGCTTGTCTCACGCCCTGCAGCGTGTGGTGGCCGCTGGGGAGCCGTCCTGCCCAACGCAGGAGGGATGAGGGCAAGGAAACAGGAATGGCTGGAGCCCGGCCAGAGGAGAGGCTGGAAGAAGTGGTCGGGAAGGGGACGTGCTGCTGCAGCCCCCAACCCGTTGCAGCCCGTTCCTTTGTGCCCAGCTGCTTCTCCTCTTGCCCACGCGGGTCTCTGGGGTGCAAAAAGTTGCCCAGTCTGCCCAAATCTCTCTGAACGTCAGAGGAGGCAGGTGCTGCTCAGGCAGCGTGCCTGGGCACACAGGGTGCCAGCACCCAACCAGCTCTGGGGTCGGTGCCATGGTCAAACCAAATCATATCTGGCTGAAGAACAGTGCTGGGGAGGGGTGTGACCCCTTTGTGGTTTTTGCAGGTGGAGGAATTTGGGACCCTCAGCTGGAACTGGCCACTTGGCACCGGGCACTGGTGTGAAACCCCTTCCTTTGGGTCATCACCCCTGCCAGGGGTGTGCCAGGGCTCTGGGAGCCAGCAGTCCCTTCCAGGCTCCATCCCGGGCCAACCCTGATGCTGCTGCCAGCTGGAGAGCCCTGCCTGCTGTCCCTGCTCCTGCCCCCCACCCTGCACCCCGCTGCCGAGGCGGGGGCCTCGGGGCCGACCCCCAGAAGCTGCTTGGGCAAGATCTGCACCAGCTGCCGGCCTAGCACATCCCCGGGGCTGCTTCCAGCACACCCGCACCGCCTTTCCCAAGGAGGGCTGCAAGACAAAGCTCCCACCACAGCCCACGCCGTGCACTCATGGCCACCAGCAGCTTTTGAAAGCCTTTTTGTGCTCCATGGAGCCCGCAGGGGTGGGGGCAGAGTTGGGTGCCCTCCCCTCCCTGCTGCAGTTCTCTGTGCTCAGAGAAGGGAGTTTAATCCCCAAGGTTTGGGGTTGGGCAGAGATACAATGAGTGATGAGACCAAAGAAGGTGCCAAGGAGAACCTTTGCCCGTGGATGCTGCTCCTCACAGCATCTGCATCAGCCTCCTCCTCCTCCACCTCCTCAGCCCCATTATCCCAGCGTCCGCCAGCGCTGCAGGGCCTGATCCTGCCCAAAGCCCAGCGGCGCCTTCCCGCCCTCTCCCGTGCGCCTGTCCGTCTGTCCAGGGGGTTAAACCAGTCAGTTCAGGATCTGATGAGCCAAACCCCTTTGGCTGCTCTCCACTGAGCCAGGCTGATCAGCGGCGGGCCACGCTCCCTGGAGCAGCTGGGCACAGAGCCCTGCGCTGCCCACCCCGTGCTGCTCCGGCCGCCTCTGCCCCACAGCTCCATCCCAGCTCCTGCCCTCTCCCAGTGCCAACAGTGCTTCCCATAACAAGGGCAGGTAGGGGGTGGGCTCCCCCTGAGCTCGTCCGTGTCCCCAAGCCCTGGGGGCATCACCTCCCTGCTCTGTGGAGAGGAGGGTGGTGAAGACCCATGCTGGGAACCCCGGGCTGGCAAAGGCCGGACCCTTCTCTGCCCTCAGCTGGGACCAGGAGCAAGCCCCCGGCACGGCCCTTTGCAGCACAGGGTACCCCAGGGACCAGGACACCCCCAAACCTGGGCTCACGGTGCATCACCCCGACTGCTAGGCCATCACTATGGCTCTTGGCCAGTCTGGGTGTGGGTGGGAAGGGAGGGGGAGGAAACACCTTTCCCGAGTTGCACCAGCCCCAGCAGCTGTGGGGAGAGGCTGGGGAGTGCTGGGGGCACTGCTCCCCGCTCCACCACGACCACGGGAAAACACGGCCAG